ATGGAACATTCCTGCAATCCTGAAGAAAAGCACAACACTATTCACCAGCTCGCCTAGCCAACATGAAAAAATCAACACAAGGAAGTACTCCGGAGTTTATAACATAGACTGCAAGGATTCTAAACAAAAATAAATCAGAGAGACGGGAAGGACACTTAGCACAAGAAGCAAAGAACACTAGCTACTATGCAGAAAAATGGATACGGAAAGATCGGGGATGGTTGAACGCATCAACCTTACCGGCCACACTATTGACTGGAGTGCCATGAAAAGACTGGCCTCTTATGGGGTGAGCATCAGAAAACGGAGGATCAGGGAAACTGTGGAGATCCTCTTTCTAAGAAACCTAGTGAACATGAGATTAGAGGAGAGAATAGTCAGCGATAATTTCCCGTACTGCCTGGCCAGATTAGAGATTCAGCGAAAACATCAAAAAGAAGATGCTTGGACCCAGAACAACTGTTCAATAGCAGTAAGGGACTTCACCAGGGAGCGGCTCATGACGGACAAAGGTAAATTAAGACAACCGATTGCAGTGAGAGATCGGCCAAAAATCCACCTGGGGAGGGGGTCCATCTGTGGGATAGGAAATTAAAGGTTAAAGGTATTGGTGTACCACCAGTGTGTGTGAGTGTGTTTGTGCGCATTTTTCGTGTCTGTGCTTAAAAGAAGGTGACTGGTGACATGCTTGACCACGAGGGATACCAGCCAACACACACATGAACATCCTAGTACTCTAGGATTAGATGGGACTGTCAACATGAAGGACGAGGAGCGTGCTTTTTGCGAATCAGGGGAAAAAAGGGAAGTGCCAGCGGCTATGACTTGGGACGGACACAGAGCCTTAAAGAACGGGTCACAATGTGGGTAGGGACAAGAAAGAGGATAACCAAGTCATGGGTTTGAAGCTTGTACAGAGAAAGGCCTGGCTTTATTTTAACTTCATATCTGCCCTGTGACCCTTGCATGAACATCATCTGATCTAAATCTTCCGATATAGCTTAATCGGAGACGGGAATTGACGACTCTTAGGCAGCCAGATTTTAGACGACCAGACAATGATTTTGATGTTTAGCCTCGGCTAATTGACAAACAGAGTAGGGAAAAAGAGGGAGCCGAATGAAGATCAGAAGTCCTGCAAACGGCACCTGGTACCGGTGGCAGAGATGATTGCGCTTCAACAAACCCACTTCTAGCGACACATTCTTTGACGAAATTGGAGGAAACGAGAACACAGAATTGTGTGAATAGGTAGATGGGCCATATGAATTGAGGTTGAGAGAAATAGATGCGGCACCAGTCAGTAGAACAAAAATAGGGGCGAGTAGTGATGCCAAATGAGTTGAACAGAAAATTGGTCATGGCGATTACCTTCACTTGTTTCTTTGTTAAGTTATAACTCTACTCCAACGATAGCGCTTCTCACCGATGATGCCGGCGAAACGTTTGGGAATGTACCAAATCAATGGTCCGATGCTTGAAATCACGAATACTATGGTCGAGGACACAGAACTAGGTACACTCCACAAGGACTCCCTGACGCTGCGACCAATCAGAAGACAATACCATGTTTGCCTTCATATCTATGATATAGAACATGTTTTATTTATTCTCCAAATCTACTCCTGACTCCATAATTTTTTATAAAGGCTATATTATTAGCGGACCTTTATATTTGCTCATTTTTAATGCATGCCTCCAGGTATGGTAATTTTAGTTATGATTAATGCCACTTGTTGCCCGAGTAGTTAGCAAAATTTTACAATGCGCTTCTTCATTGTAATTAAGTTCTTTTGGATCACTCATATTAGAGTAACTATTCTATTATTTATAAATTTTAATCAAAGGTCAGTACAAATTGGTACATAAATTAATCACAGATAAGCAACAATGCGTCATAGTTTATCCATTTGCCCATGTCCAGACCTACTATTTAGATTAACGCCAGAGAATACTCTGGTAATTTAGAAGTTTTTTTTGACACCCAGTATTATTTTGTCTGACTACCGAATATATAGAGAAGCTTGATTCCATAAGCTAAAGTGCTGGTCTGACCTTGTTTTTGTAACTTGGTTGTAGCGTCAGGGAGAGCTTGTGAAAGGTACCCAGTCCCGTGTCTTCTGCCATATTATTCGTGACTTACAGCATTTTGCCATTTGCTCGATACATTCCCAAACACCACATCATCTTGGTCTCCATATTTACGATCTATAAACTAGAGCTTGATCCTGCGATGCTTGCCCGTATATAACAAAAATACGTTTGCTTCATCGGCAATCTCACCTAAGAATTAGATATTAGAAAAACAAGGTCTGGCCTTCTAACTTCTGCCCTGTGACCCAAAGTCATTCCTGGCAATGCGGCTAAGTGGTTGACTTATCAAGCTCACATGCTGCACTGTCACGTTTCGACTCCCGCTGGGGGTGTTGATAAGACCTATGTGAGGTCGAAACTGCAGCCCACCCTGGATAAGAACTACTTTTAGGAAAGCAAGGCTATATGAAATTCAATGAAACCGTCAGCTCTACTCATATCATTGTGGGAAAATTATACTACCGGTCCTTCATCACCTTAAACGAAATAGTGTGAATACATCTCATATAACTGATTTATTGGTAATCTCGAAACTCTACTTATATACGAAAAATTAGGAAGATGGATCTGTTGCTGTATTTAACGCCAAATTTATTTCCCTGAAGTGCATCCAAACTGTTTGAATGAGAACTTTTTTGTAAAAACGATTAGGATAAAGAAGTGGGTTGACCTCGTTGTCGCAACTTGGTCTTGTGTTCAGGAAGACTATGTAGAG